CATGCTGCCTGCCTGAGTCTATAAGTCAGCATGTTCTGACACAAATGATAAGCAAATGATTATTGCCTTGCCAGAATAATATCTTGTAAAAACTTTTTATGAGAAAACAAATGAAAGAACCTCACTTTATAAAATTAATTTGAAATAGAAAAATTGTAATTTGGATGAGTTTGCACAGTTATTTCTATATAGAATGAAGCTGGGCTGCTTCTTCCATAGACTCCAAAAAATATATAAATACTATTAAAAAGTTAGCATTTGCCCTTACATTTTCAACATAAAGGTTTTCAGACTGGCCAGATTTTAGACTTGTTCAGAGAAGTCCACATTGCCAGTGGAAGAGGAAGCCATGGAGACCAGGACTTCAGGCTTGTAACGCTGCTGAGTCAACAAGGCTGGCATTTGGAGCAATGTGTGTTTTAAAAAGGTTTGATTGGCCAGAGGATTTTAGAAAATGCTAGAAGACAGGCAGTATATCCATGGTATGTAGGCAGAATTCTAAGATGGCACCTCAGTTTTCCATCCCTTGGAGTACATGCCCTACAGAATCCTCTCTGCTTGAGTGTGAGCAGGACCTTTGACTGTGATGGGTTCTCATCCCATGATTTAGTTATGTTATCTGAATTTTGCAGATATAGTTAAGGCCCTTAATCACTAGACTTTGAATGAATAAAAAAGATTATCCTCGGCCTGACCTAGTCAAGTGAGCACTTAAAAGAAGTCAGAGATTTGAAAGGAGAGAGGTTCTCCTGCTGGCCTTGAAGGAGCCACTGCCTTGCTGTGGAGATAGCCACGTGGCAAGGACCTCTAGTGGCCTCTAAGACTTGAGAGTGGCTCCTGGTGATGGCTGGTAAGGAAAAAGGACTTCAGTCCTAGAACTGCAAGGAACTAAATTCTGCCAGCAACCAGGGAGCTTGGAAAAGGACCCCATCCTCAGATGAGATCACAGTCCTGACTGGTTCCTTGATTTCAGCCTGGTGAGACTGTGATCAGAGGACCTAGCTCTACTGTGCCTGGACTCCTGACCTGGGAACTGCGAGTTAACAGATGTGTGTTGTTTCCAGCTGCTGAGTTTGTGGTAATTTGTTACACAGCAGTAGATAACTAACACACGTGGAAGCGAGTAAACAGTAGGAAGGAGAGTTGCTCAGAAGAGCTGAGTCAGAAGCAACTCAGGATGATGCTTCCAGAGTGCACTGGCTTCCCTGATGGTAGATTTTCATGTGGCCATGGAAGGAAAATGTTACACGTTTGAGATTTCACACTGAATGCTCCACAGACAGACACAGATGATCTTTTCCTCTGTTGCAGTGGTTCCCAAACTTCAGCTTGCTTTTTGAATCACCTGTGAGGGGTGTTGGATCTGATGGCTGAGCCCCACCTCCAGAGTTTCTGGTTCAGCAGGTCTGCAGTGGGGCCGAAGACTCTGCAGACTTCACGAGTTCCCGGGGGAGGCTGCTTCCGGCCCTGGGACCCTGCCCTGAGAGCTGCTGCTCTATGATAAATGAGGAGGTTTTAGTTATTTCTAACATTTGGTTTCTATATCCAATCTTTTCCCCATGTGACATGGAAACATCTCACCAAGATTTTTTCATATAAATTAAGTCTTTTTGCATCTGATTATGACTTCAAGAAGTTTATTTTTTATTTTTTGGGGGGGCAGGTAATTAGGTTTATTTATCTATTTACTTATAAATGGAGGTACTGGGGATTGAACCCAGGACCTTGCACATGCTAAGCAGGCACTCTACCACTGAGCTATTACCTCCCTCATTTTTTAAACCAAGGTTAAGATAAAAAGAAGGAACAAAACTTGAGACACCTTTGAGTAGCCCAAAGTGTTTTTCACTCTCTGAGTAGTCATCTCAGAACTTCCATTTGGGTGGAACAATGAAAAAACAGTTAAACCAGGTTAAAAAAAAAAACAGGTTACAGGTCCCACGTGGAGGCCTGTGGGACCTCCATGTTCTCCCATTTGCCATCACTGCCCCACATCCCGGGTGTCAGTGGTCCCTGCTGCATCCCCCATCTATCCGGGCCCTCATTCCCAGGAGGCAGGGGCTGCAGCAGCACAGAGGTGCCCCGGGGAGCAGAAAGTCCTCTCCTGCGCCAGTCCTGACAAATCACTTCATCACGAACCCCTCTGACTCACAGCAAGGAAATCAAACTGGGAGCAAAACCGAAGTCTTAATTGAGATTTGGGGATCCGCAGAGATCCCACCAAGTACAAAGTCCCCATGACTGTTTAAAACAAGAAAAGAGGGCGAACCTCTTGCCAGTAGAAGTGAGGTTCTGCCAGGATCGTGGTGAGTGTACGTCAGGGCAAAAAAGGAGAAGCAGAGAGAAAAAGGTTCTTCATGTGATTATGAACAGCAACTGGAGAGTGCTCTGGAATGCAACTGTGCAGGAGCAGAGAGGGAACGTTATTTTAGGATGTAATTGAAGAATTATTTATTTGGGAGAACTCAGCATTAGCATGTTATCCAAAATGATCCCAGTTGCTCATGCTTGTCATAAAGTTTGCTAATAATCTGGATGGGGGGCGGGGGGCAGTTGGGGAACCTAACTGAAAACATCTGTGAAAACTGAGTATGAGACTCAGTGTCTTGTTTTTATTAATTCGCCCACGATACAATCCTGAAAGAGTGGAATTGAGTGATTATCCGAGTAAATGTCTATTTATATGCAGAAAGTAGGTGTGCTTTGACTTTGTACTCCAAAATAAAAATGACTGATCTCTTCCATCAGAACAGTGTAGGCGTCCCAGCTGCCAGCTTCTATGTTTTTATTTATTTACTTATCTCCCCTAAGGAGATCCAGGCACTTTGTGGACCTTTCCCAAGCTGCTGGAACTGACTGATGGTTGGACTTCCTTTAATCCAAGTAATGCCGAGTGTCTGCAGCTTTGGTAATCGGATCCTACGGACTTGAAAGACCACTGCCCAAATACCCAGAGCACAGAGGTTTGGCAACTTCATTTAATCATCGCAGAAGGATTACAGAGTGCAAAACAAGCCCCCAGATGGCTATGAGATGGGCCAAGTCAGAAACTGACTCAGGCTCAGGAGCTGCTCAGATTTGCTCCCTCCTCCGGCCTGGCCTCCCACCTCCCGAACCGCCTTCACCTCGGCCAAGGCTGGCATCGTTTGTGGTCCGTAGGAGAGAAGACATGTCAAGGGGGATTGACTTTAGATCAGAGAAATAAACTGTGTCTGATACTATGTCAGGCTCAGAGCTGGTTGATCCGACTCTGGTACCCAGATTTATCCTGGTGGGGGAGGGTGAAGGCCACAGTCTACCTGGTGAGATCCTCTGACGGAGAAGCCAGGTGGCAAATTTAGAAGCTGTCCCTGGTCTGGTTAAAGAGAGAAATTGCAGCCACCCGTGATGTTTTCTTCACCCACAACAATACAGTTGGCATTGAGAGCCATAACCTGTTCATCATCCAAGGGTTGCTCTATGATCAGAGCAGGAATTAAGGGCGATTCATGACCAGGTGTGGATCTGGAATTTCTTAAGGACAACCTCAGCTTTCGAGGCCTTTTTCCACTCTGGGCTTAAATCTGGAGGCTCCCATGTGAAAAGTGGTCCTTCTGCTCCAGATGGGGTGAGGAAAGAGAGAGGGCAGGAAGGCGCTGGAGAGACTGCACCGTTTGGGTGCCAAACATCCCATTTGCTTGCCTCTCCCTTGCACCCACTCCTGGACCAAGGAAAACCCTAACACAAAACCCACAGCAAGCAGCCCATGTTTCTATTAGGCAACTTTAGTCACTAAAAGAGTGCAAATGCAGACTCCCGTGTCGATCGGATTTGCCGTGCGAGGCCAAGCTTATTTTATTACATACATTCTGCATTCTAAGAACTAATAACTTCATATTGTAAACATTAAGCATACAGAGTTAATGTTCAAGGCCACATTTTGATCATGGATTGTCTCTCTTGTGTATCTTTGGCTGGCCGAGATCAACTCGTAGTGTATAAATGCATAAGTTATATAATTATTATATAAAAAGGAAGAAAAAAAAAACTCCATGGACTTGTAGACTTCATTCTGACAAACGCACAGCGTTCGCGACTCAAAAGGAAAACTGGGGCCCCCCTAACCTCGATGCCTAGGTGATCTCGGCTTGTGGTCCCCGAGAAGGCTAGTTCTTCCCTGACCCCCTGGAGAGCACTGCCCGCTCCTCCACCTAACCACGAGGTCCTGAATGTTTCATTTAAATATCAGACAATTCCAGTTACAATTTTCTTTTGATAGACAAACAAACAAAAGAGATGCATAATTTTGCTTCTGAATTCTATGACTTCCCTTTCCTCCATCACGCCGGGTCCCTCCTCCTGACACTGGATTTGGTATAAACTCTAACCACC